TATATAATATATATATGTGTGGATTTGTGTCTATACATACATACATACATACATACATACACACACATACATACATACACACATACACACATACATACATACATACATACATACATACATACATACATACATTACTTACATACATACATACATACATACATACATACACACATACATACATACATACATACATACACACACATACATACACACACATACATACATACACACATACATACATACATACATACATTTACATACATACATACATACATACGTACGTACGTACGTACATACATACATACACACACATACATACACACATACATACATACACACATACACGTATCTATATATATATATACATGTCTATATATACGTATATGTAAATGTAGCATATGTACATATATATATATATAATATGTAACATATAAATATATAATATACATATACTTGGGGGTGCAGTTTTGGTTTTCAATACGAGTAGTGAGCCCCTGTTTACAAACATCTTTCTTACCGAACAAACCTCTCATTGGATTATTTGCGGCGCACTCAAATTTTACCAAATCCAGGAAGGGGAAATTAGAAAAAACAACAGGGCCCCTACTCAATATTCAGCAAGGGTTTTCCCAAATTTGGCCAACCTGTTTCGATCGCTGTTGGGCCATTGTGCTCATGCAGAGTCATGTGAATGATTTTAAACTTGGTTTTTACCACCATAGGTTGGGATACGAGTCTTACAATTTCAATGTGACCATGTTTTCCGGCTAGATAGCTGGGCCGACCAAGCCTAGCTGAAACCTGCCACCCCTCAAAGCAACTCCTAAATCACTATACGTGGTTCTTTTCACCATTAAACCTTAATTGTGGGTTTGGATCCCTGGCTGAGCCCACATATCAGTGGATTATACTTGGGGGTTCAGTTCCATGTACTAAGCGGCTTAGCTGGTAATAGCTATTGGTGCCTGAATCTCTCCAAGTCCAAGGTGCTCTTCATGGTTTCTCACATAATGCAGCATAAATCCCACTATATGCTCAATGCAAACAGGGTATAACAATAACAATTCAAATTTCTGACCCGTAAAAATCTGGTTTGGGTTTCGTTGCTATAATTCCGTGGTATACCACATTTTCAGACACAACTACCCGTGTGCTGTCGCGCGGACGAGCCCTTCATGGAGAAGAGCTATGTTTTCTGCCGAGGACCCCGGTTTCACAGCGGCAATTGGTCAAATTTCCAACTTGGGGCTTGTTTTGGGCACCCAAGTAGCTCCACTTCTTGTGTCAGCTTCCTTGTTTTCTCAAACCTGTTGCTGAGATTGATCATCAACCTTTGGAAGATTCTCAGCAACACACTGCTCGAATGGCAATGAATAGCAATTTTCTTTATGTGTCCCAAAAAACTTTCGTCTTGCCAGCACGAAAGGTGCCGTGGATTAATCCTAGTGCGTTGCACTTGCAACATCATTTCTTCGAAATAATGGTGCTTTGGACGCAACTTCCACCTGCACACCCCCATGTCCGAGTAGGTTTGAAACAGCCCTTGCCAGTGCAAGAGGAAAGCTTGAAAATACTCACAAACGTATTGACTGTCTTCCTCGTTCAAAATGATCTCGGAATGGTCCAGCTTGTCAATGGCCGTTTGCAAGGACCAAATGCAGCAAGCTCCTGCTTGGAGAACCGGTGCCTGCAGCCAGAAGACAGGACGACGTGATATAGGGGTGCTATTGAACATGTTCAAATACTGGTGCATTAAATCCGTATTTGCATTGAGAAGAGTATTGGACGTGCACAACATTTGCAAAAAGCAGACCTGGCTTTGAACCCAGCTACACCTGTGGTTTCAGCAAACTCGATGCTTTTGACTGTCAAGTACCACAGTATGACTTTCACATGGTGCCCCTTGAACACGGAACCCAATTCGGGAAAGTTTTTCGTTTTGTCCACATCCAAGTTCAGATTGCGAGGAGTAAATCCAAGCTTGCGCACAGAGATCCTTGGACACGCGAAAGGACAGGGTGCCTTATTCATGTTGACCGGTGGTAATTCAAGAATTTGCGGGCCATCCAAAAAGTTTCATAACCAAGACCTGTTCGCAACCATGTTCCAAACAATATCGCACTGCAAATAAAATATCATTATATATGATCAGTGATTCAATCATAACAGATGGGCTGCCTGCAATATCATAGATCCCCAATTTGGAAGGTAACCAGAATCTAGGCTGCTAGTCATAACATAGGTGCATAGCCTTGGGTTGTTAACCAGAACATAGCTCCCCAAGTGGACTTTTGTGGTTTCCTGCAAAGTATGTCCCCTTGATTTTTCAAAGCAAGTATCCGATTCCTTCGGAATACCGTGTTCATATCGAGGCTGAGTCTCTCAAGTTGTTCTTCAACCGTTCCAGGCCCCAAAACACCATGATCTAGAAAATCGGCAACCAAGCTGCCAATGAGATCTCTCCCGAAGCCCAAGTATATAGTATGGAGCAAGTCATGCATACAAGTATACAGAGTCCATCCAGGCATGTTTACCCAAGGCGACAAAACACCCTCAGTTTGAAGGTATGTGTTGTGGGAGATTTGGGTCATTCTCCTTGGTAGATCGCGATTGAAATCCTGGTATGTCATGTTCGGGTCAGATTTCTTGGTTGGCCTTTGCGGCATACAGCGCTCGCAAAGCAGGACGCAGTTGGACCATCTTGAAAACTGGTTGGCTTCCATTCTAGCTTTGTGGTCGTATCGGAAAGCCCAATAAGCCATCCTGCCAAAAGGTTCTTATAAAGGGTCTATGCTCAATGAAAGGCGGTTAGAATTAAAGGCGTCTATCCCCAAAGGCAACCATTCTGCAACGTAAGGTTGTCAATCAATTTCTGGGTATGGTTTTTAGAAAGCCCCACATGAGCAATGTTCAAAACCATCTATCGTCCCTTTATTTATTACTTGCTGAATAAGATTTCCCATCATGGATTGCAAATTGAATTGTTTGAAATCATGTTTCAAATGGCCTCCATCCATTGGCCAAGGTTTGGCCTTGAAATTTGCCACGCAAACTCTTTGGTGAAAATTCCTCATCGTGAAAGCCCTTGTTTGGCCACCGTCCAGCCGCTGCCCACTCCATGGACCAGGACAGCAGTTTGGCGACGTGTTGGTGAACAGCTTCTTTCACCTGAAGGCAGCAAATGCAAGGGCACAAGGGCTGCACACCACAAAGTAGAGGGATAGTAAAGGGTTCAATAAGGTCTGGATTCAAAATAATAGTTGAGAATATGTAACATTTATACCCAAACTACGGTAACCCCCATGGATAATAAACCGTTCCAAATTAGATGCACCGTATGAATAGCATATCATCACATTCTGCAGGGCACCTGGATACCTTCGAATCTATATTGGTTTGGGGCTTATGCCATAGATAACTCAAACCCATTTTGTATTGCCACTTCTGCAACGGCCTAGCTGCATGGCGCTTCCGCATTGATGCGCCAGGGATAATCACCAAGGGGTACTTGTAGTCCCATACCTTAAATACCAATTTGCCAGCTGGGATGCACACCAACGATATTCACTTATGACGTTTCCATATTTTGAAAGATGCGATTAGTTTCTCATCACCAAGCTTAGATACGTTGCCAGCCGCTAAGGTGCTGGACATAGACCAGCAAACATACTCAGCGTTCGTAAAGAATTCCACACCGTCAACATGAAAAGTTGTAGGTATGAGTCCTTGGCCATTCTGACCCCCGGGATAGTACAACTCAGATGCTCATTTTTTGTTGCTAATTCCGAATCCAAATGAAATGCTGAACAAACTACAATATATGTATGTATATATATATATATGCCCAAATTCTTTCAGCGCAGTGAACATCGATGTAGGCTAGTACATCGTGCAAATTTGATGTCCTGTGTTTTGAAGCTACAACTGAGACACTTACGACCCTTGTCAACGGTCACATCGTTCAGAACAGGGTGTTTCGACCACTCATCGAAAGCCATGAGGTGCTCCCAGAAGTGAACAATTTCTTTTCTGCCCCAATCTCCAAGCATTGACTTTGCCATCTGGCAGGATTTGAAGATGTTGGTGCTTTCGGAAAACTTAACCAACAACAATTGAAAAGCAGGTGACTGGGGCAAACAATTGTTAAACATCGTTTTATTTTAGATGCCAGCACCTGGTCAGGGCCTGCATGCACCACCGCATGCAAAATCTCGTGCGGCAGGAACACAGGGATCATCACCTTCTCGATTTTCTGAGAGTTCGCAACCTGGGGGACAGGTGGTCATACGTACTGGGAACCCTATTTGAAGATGGCCGAATTTAAATATATACAGGTATATATATATATAAATATCTATCTATCTGTCTATCCATCTATCTATCTATCTATCTATCTGTCTATCTGTCTATCTGTCTATCTGTCTATCTATCTATCTTTCTATCTATCTAATCTAATCTAATCTATTCTAATCTAATCTAATCTGATCTGATCTGATCTGATCTAATCTAATCTAATCTATCTATCTATATCTCTACCTACCTATCTATCTATCAGGCATATTCCCCAATCATAGCTTGCAAGGATTTACCAAATTAACCCTGTGGTTTAATAGAACTTTTGTTTCATTGCTTTATTGAAGCCACCTGCTGTAACAGGGTTTGTGGAATAAAAAAATGTTGGAAATAACAAATCACCAGAAAATACTGCGGGGGTAAAAACTATGAGAAAATTTTTGCATGGTAATGAAGGAACCTGGAGCCTCAGAGATGTCCAATAAACTTCCAGCCGCAAATCAAATAGATTTCGTAGCCACCGGTGTAAATCCCTTTCTTCATTTTTGGAACTACTGCCGAAATTTCCCAAGGATGCAAATGCTTCAACGCAGGGTGGTGCAGTTTCATCCTTGTGCTGGGATTGGGCAATTGCCACCACAGTTCGTATATGGGCTTGCCCTTGGCCAATCATACCTTAGAACATGAAAACCAAAGGGTTGGCAATAACTAGGAGGAACTGGGCCCTGATAAGACATGTTTCAGCCGTGGTACTCAAGAACTGGTCAGCTTGATGACTATGGGCATATGATTCGAACCTTTGTCTTTTGAACCTTTCCAGGGACTCACAAATGGTTTGTTTGGTCTGTCTGCTTTTTGTTTCTACAAAAGAGATTCAACTATCCACGAACCGTGCAACTCACTGCAGGCCTCCCTCGAGCCTTCGATGGTCTGGGTTTCCCAGCACCTGCGGTGGGGTAAGAGATCAGGGTTGTGATGAGAATACATGGAGAAATGTGGAAACCAGTTTGGGGAAATCACTAGTTGGAACGAGTCCCATGAACCAAAGACAGGATTGCCACTCATGACTCTTGGCGTTGATTCCCTTGATGAAGCAAAACAATATGCCATATGCAACACCAACACGATGCCAGTCAGAAAGAACAAGATTTTTTCACCTTTGGCCGCACGCTGGATGTTGTATTGAAGCCCTCATTTTGAGAAGCATTGCCCTATCTCGTCATGTCAAAAAGCATGATGCCATATGGCAAGTTGCAATGAATCTTTTGCCCCGAGGACCCGTAGCGAAATTGAGCTGCAATCCTAGTCGGTCGCCTTTGCCCCGGGCTTAGCGGCGCCCTTGGCCTTTGCCTTGGCACGAGACTTTTTGTTCAAGCCTGCCAGCAGACCTTTGGCAGCTGCCTTGCAGGGAGAGAGAAATTGGGATAACAAAAACACCAGGTGAATTTTGGGTGTTTTCATTTGTTTCTTGGGGTTTTGAACACCAGGTGAATGTGGTATGTTTTCATTTGATTTTTCTGGTTTTAAACTGGTAATAACCTGGCCTTTGCTTTCTCAAACCATGTTGCGCTTTCATGGTACACATCAATGAACTTCTGGAGTTTTTCATCTTTGGGCTTGTTCGTGGCCAACAGGGCCGTTGCCACCCCGTACAACTTCTCCATCTTTGATGAATGTGAAAACAAATCATCAACAAGTTGGTCACCATACGAAATCCCTTTCAAGCTGATCGCCAGCTTGCGAGCTTCTGATCCTTCTTTCAAGACGTCCTCTTTGCAATCTTCAGCTTTCCTGGGAAGTTTGGAAAACGATTCAGAGACGAAATTGTATAAATATTCAGTGTGGATTCTTTTTGAAATAGTTGAATAATATATACATCTAACCCCAGTTTCTTAAAAAGTTGTCATATGTTTCTTCTCCTGAATTTGTAAACGAAGGGCTTGACTATATTTGTAAACGTATGGAAAATGTTGCTTGTAGCAAATCGCAAACTACTCTTTGAGGGTCGTAGGTGCCACTGGAACTGACCCGGCATCTGGTCGGGCAGCACGTTTGGCTTTGGGAGCTTTGGCAGCTGCACCTCCCGTCAAGGCATCAGCCATGGATTTTTCTTGTTGAACATCTAAGCCAGGCAAAGCCCCAGCAACCAAAGGTCCGGTATCCGTCGTCAAGGAATCCCAGAACTCCCTATCAAAGCCTTTCGCTTCCCCCCTCATGGACATTCGTTCGGATGTAGAATCCTCTTTGGTGAACTCCTTCTTCATTGATGGGTAATACCAAATCTCCTCCCCGTGGTTAGGTTGTGGATAATAATTGTTGTAACCGTTGACCTATATATGGTTAGATACCTGTAAACAACAGCTTTGAAACCAGGTATATATAAATATGTTGAAACACACCTAACCTATATGGGAATATCTTTGTGGGTGTCTTTTTGTTTTGGTGGTCCTCCTCGTCCTGAGGCCAATCCTCGTCCCACTGCCACAGTCCCTGTGACCGCAAGCGGTTACATAACTTGTCCACTTTGTCGGATGGGAGGTCCTTTTCCATGTCCCGTCGTTTCACACCATGTCTTCCCGACTTTGCCCGATTGGTGGTAGCAACAGTTCTCTCCACAATCAAGGCCACCCTTAGCAACAGAGATCCCAATAGGTTTACTTAGTCTACTTCAACCCAGTTTTAGATTTTGATTGATCAGTTGGCCTTTAATACAACACGCACAAAGAAACCCGAAGAAACAGTTTCTGAGTCTGAGGTGTAGACTTTTCAAGCTTCTTCTCGTTTTGCAGCCACAGGTTGAACAAATCAACTTTGTTACGCTGAGCGTAACTTGAAAGGGAGGTCGGGAACTTTTTGCGGTCTTGAAGTTGTCTGCTGAAGACATCCCACTCTTTTTTGTTGGTTGTACCTTACATCAACAAAACACCAATGTTTGAACTAAGAGTATCGGAATAAACACGTGACAAAAAGGACAATCTGAAAAACTACCTGCTGTGCATTAATATATAAAAGAAGCTGCTATTGGCTTGTGCCGTCTTTGCCACCGTCAAACCCTGCTCAGCTGCCGCAGCGATTGCCTTGCCTTTCTTATTCTTCTCACTTCCTTCGCTTTCCTCATCAAGATCATCATCATTTTCATCCTGTTCATCTTCTTCTTCGTCCTGCTCTCCTGCCTCATCCTCCTCTTCCTCATCTGGACCTTCCTCCTCATCATCATCATCTTCTTCTTCTGAAGAGGAACTTCCAGAACTCAGACCAAGGTCTTCAGCTGGATCCACACCACCAGGAAGCGGCAGTGTAGCCTCTGAATCATTATCCGACTGTCTACCCTCCTCACTCTCGTCTTCTGACACTTCAAGCTCCTCAAGTGCTGCCTCAAACGCGTCTCCCTCCGCCTTTTGCTTTTTGATCGGTGCCTCTTTCTCTTCACCTGCATCCTCTTTGAGCCTCTTGACTGGCACTGCTGGAACGGTGGTCTCTGCTGTGCTTTCCTTCGTACGTTTTTTTGCGGTAACCTCATCCTCATTCTCCTTTGACTCTTTCGTCTCCTTCTCCTTTGACTCTTTCGTCTCCTTCTCCTTTGACTCTTTCGTCACATCCTTTGAGTCTGTGTTCTTCTTATCCTTCTTATTTTTTTTCTCCTTCTTCTCCTTTTTCTCCTGTTTCTCCTTTTTCTCTTTTTTCTCCATTTTCTCTTTGTTCTCTTTCTTCTGCTTCTCCTTATTCTCTGGTTCCTTGCTCTTCTTTGGAATCTCAGTTTCCTTTGGGACTGCTGACGGCGATGACAAAGCAGCTGTCCCTCTGCCTTGTGGAGTCCCATACACATAGACTGGCTGCTTGAAATTGACTCGGTGGCTTGGGGCAGAGGATGCCGTTGTGGACGTTGGGGAAGAAGATCCCTTTTTCAAAGCCGAAGCCCTGGCAACTGCTGCCATGATCTTCTCACCTTTGCCTGCTTTCTCCCCCTGGGTGTCCTTTGCCTTGCTTTTCTTCTCAACTTTTGAACATTCTTTGCTGGTGTCCTTCTTGGCGCTTTTCTTCTTATCTTTAGACTTCTGGTCTGCTTTGGCTGGCTTGCTATGTGCCGGTGCCATGAACTCAAACAGGCAGCAGCAAACTGCTGCCCTGCAGGAAAAAAGCGCAAAATGCTGAGCCAAGAGGATGACAGGTTTCAACGGTGGCAGCTGTAGACCTACTGGAAGCATTGGAGTAACCTATAACTACTTTGAAACCAATGCAACTTTCATGTAGGAAAATGGCCATGATACAAATCGCGGCTTTTCGCTACAAATCGCTGCTTTTTTCTACTCCAAATCGCTGCTTTTTTCTGACCCCAAACAATAAAAAAAATGCACTTGGTCTGCATGGTGCTGTTTTTTTGGTGGTTGGCTTTCCTACATAGCTTCTCCCCTGCACTGCGCCCAAGTTGCACAAGGGTTGGGGGCACCTGATTTGCCCAAGGTCTGCATCACCAGCCGTGGCATCACCTGGCATGTTGGGAGACTGGAAGAGACCATGCAGGACTTTCTGCGGGGGTGGGGGCTCTATATGGATTATTTTTATGATGCTTAAAACTAGGCAACAAAGGCCCCAGAAATATTTGGGAAACTTGAAGCAATTGACACGAAAATACTGGGCAAGGAACAGCACCACGGCCCAACACCCCTTTTCAACATCTCTTTTCTAGCGCCCATGGGAGTTTGCAGTTTGCCCGCATTTTGTCCAAGACATCAAGACGCAGTAAAGGCAACATTGCATATATTCAAACTAATTGGCATGGAGAAAAGATACATCTATGAGTATCATCCACGCTGTGACCAAAAGCAAGTTCTTGCATTTAAGAGGTAAGATATTGAAACACAGGGTCCAAGTTGGCATGCTTGGTCCAAGAGCTAAAGCCTTGAGTCAGGGGCTTGGATTTCAACTTGCCATCCTTCTTGGCCTTCTTGGCATCCCGCAGGAAGCGCTTTGCATCCGTTTTGATTTTGGGACCGAGCTTGGTCCTCAGCTTTGCCAATGCCCGTCCAAACCTGGGCAGCCGGTCAAAGGGGGACACTGAAATGATATCAAGTGATAATTTTTCAATTGGATTGGTCTGCCAAAAAAGACCCCCACAAGTCCCATGTTTTTCTAAAAAGTGCAGGGAAAACGCTGTATTTTGGGGACTTGTGGGGGCCTTTTTGGGTGAACCAACCCAAGTGGAAATTTGGCAATATCAAGTACTGCCAATGAGTTCAAAGCATTCGTAACCCACAAAAAACTTTATATATACGTTTTCTGTTTGAACCGAACATTTGCTTCTTACCTAAGGGTTTTGACTCAAACAAAAACTATTCCAATCCATATCTTAGAAACAGCAAAGGGTACTGCTGGGATCCTTTCATAGAGCTTGATCCTTTCACACGGGCGACCCCCTTTGAATCCACATACTTGTCTACAAGTTCTACCTTCTCGTTGTTAGCCAATGGCAGCATTGATGCCGGAGGCTTGAAGCTGGCAAGGTCGCTGATGTCTTCCCTGCCTTATGATAGCATGTGATGGATGGCAGCAGGTATTGAATGTTTCATGAAAACACCACTGAAAATGGAGATTCTATTCTTTTGAATGCTGGCTATATGGCACAAGTGGATGGATTATATTATATTATGTTATATTATATTATATTATATGATATTATATTAAATCATATGATGTTATAATATATCAAATGGTATTAAATTATATCATATGATATTATATTATATCAAAAGATATTATATCATAAGATATTATATTATATAATATAATATAATATAATACATTATATCATATTATATTGTACTAAATCAAATTATGTTATATCATATTATATTGTATCATATTAAATTATATTATATCATATTATATTATATTATATTAAAACATACCATATTATATATTTTTTGACATATATTAGCATATTATATATTATATATTATATTAAATTATACCATATGATATTATATTATATCACAAGATATTATATTATATCAAATGATATTATTATATCATATGATATTAAATTATGTCATATGATATTATTATATCATATGATATTAACTTATATCATATGATATTATAATATATCAAATGATATTAAATTATATCATATGATATTATATTATATCATAAGATATTGTACTATATTATATCAAACTATATTATATCATATTATATTGTTTGAAATCAAATTATATTGTATCATATTATATTATATTATATTATAGTGAATTGAAATATTTTATATTTTCTATTATATCATATTGTATTATATTATATTGTATATATTTTTAAAATATATTATATTATATTATGTTATATTATATTATATTATATTATGTTATATTATGTTATGTTATATTATGTTATGTTATGTTTTGTTTTATTATATTATATTGTACTATATTATATTTCATATTATATCATATTGTATGTTATTATATTTTATTTTTCATTTATTATATTATATTAAAGTATATTATAGCGGATTATATTATATATTATTATATTATATGGTAGTATATTGTATTATTGTATATTATAGTGGATTTTACTATAGTATACTAATGCCCAAAACCATGATGCACTCCCCAAAGCATTTCCTCGGAGATGCAATCTTTCAAGATAACTCTTATCCATTTGGGAATTCAAATAGACCCACTGTAAAACATGTTCAGCATCAAGACAAACAAGCAAATCGAAACCGAATAACAACTGATACTCTCCCCGAACTGCCAATTTTCCATTTGGGTTCGCCTACGCAAAAAAGACCCCATCACGTCGCAAACCCTTATTGGAAACATTGGGATAGCCACCACCTTACCATTTTGGAGGTTCAAGTAGATCACTATAACATGTTCAAGCTGCAAAATATCTAAGCAAATCAAATGTCACTGGAGTAAAGCCAAGTTGGCTTCTGGCTGTGTCCTCCGTACTCACCCATTCGGATGCTATAGCGAAAAGTAGATACCATTGCAAGGACCCGCTGAATCATGGGGTGAAGCTCAAACAGTGAATTTTGCGGCTGCTCTAATACCCAGAATAAGCATCTCGCTGCTGCAATCAATAGTATGATTGCACAGCGCCCTGCCATCAAGTTTCCCAACCTCACGCTCTCGGATGACAACCGTCCCAATGGCGAGGTTTTGCTTCTATGGGTGGAGCCTCTCGACCTGGGCGCCGGTGCCAGAGCCAATGGTCAATGGATGTGTGGGAACCCAGCCAATGATGGCACCTTTCATTCGGGATGCTAAAGCAAGGGACCTTTAGTTTTTAAGAAAATTTAATAAACCACATTTGCTGTTAATTACATAATTATCGATGTAGGGTCTTGATGGTTGGTAAGATCACAATCTGGTTAGTGGTGATATTTATGAAACCAAAATATTTGGGGCTTGGGCCACACTGAGTTTGTGGGTTTGTCTCACGTTTTGGTGGCTTCTACGACTGTCAACAATTAGATCCGTTCAGCAATCTATATAATCAATTTTCAAATTTTCCAAATTTGAGACACGCCCTGATCTACCATTGACACGATTAATGTCAACCAAAGCACACCCACACCAATGAGGAACACACAGGTGCCAATGTGAGGCCCCCTGCGACCCTCACATTAAGCACCTGGTAGAGAGCCACGATGTAGCCCTCTACAGAGCAAATGTCCATGAAGCGGCTGTCATAGTTCAAGTCGTAGGCAGACGCACGGCGACCAGCCTTTGCAGGTACTCATTCAAGCCAAGGCAAACATCCAACATAATGAACATGCTTGGTCAAATAATTGATAGTTCTCCCCGCATTTTTTTTAAAGGATAGAGGTCAAAGAGGGACCCCTCTATTCCCTCAAAGGGAAGGTTAATAGCACATAGGTTGTTTCAAAAGGACCCATTGGCTATTCTGTCATCTCTTTTTCAAAGACCACAAGGCAACCGTCCAACTGATGAATTAGTAAACCCGAATTAAACCATTCATCCTTGGGTATACCCTGTTTGGTGTAATTTACATATGGTTGGGTTTACCAGATTACAAGTTAAGATTGGTTGATTTTCCCATCCCATATCCTTGCATATGGCAGCAGATGCTGCCTCAAGTTCACCAATGGTGACACTCATGCCACCGCTGAAAAGCTCAGCATGATCAGTTGGCTGGCTCCAATCTAGTCCCGGGAGGTTGTACACCATGCTCACCAGCATGAGCACCACCTGAGCAAAATGACCGGTTTTCCCATGACGTTTTAAGGTGAGTTGGGGAAGCATCCACCTGGAATAAATTTCAACATGTAAGTGCAATCTATCCCACAAACACATATCATTAATATTAACCCTCAGCAGGGGGTGGAATCGTGGTGTTTGTTTTCTTTTGTTTAAATTGGGGTCTACCATTTTTCTCAAACCCAACTAGTTCTATCTATATAGAGTTACTATAGTTCTAATATGTTCTAATATAATTGTTTTTTACTGCTTTTAGACCCCAACCTACCACCGACCAAACAAGGTGTATGCTGCTGCATGGTCCGACTGCCCAGGTATGACCCCAAACTTAGCTAGTGTGCAAACCACAGCAATCACTGATACCTTTATTCTGCATGGTTCCTCGAATTGATCTAGACAGTTCATTCTCAAATCATCAGGGGATCAGTAGATAAAATTCGTTAGTTGATCAATATATCAGGAGATCAGCCACTTTGATTTTATATGTTCTGGGGGCCCCAACGGCAGGAGCGCCAATCTTTCGAAGGCCCAGCATCGTATATGCCCTTTGTTTCTGCTTGAACGTAGTAGGTTCCTTGGACTCTAACTCCTGGATACTAGCGGGGACTGCCTTGGCATCACAGGCCTTAGCTTTCACCTCATTCTTCACACGGCACTTTCCCATGTGCTCTAACGAGAGTAGGATGGGGGTGACACAGCAGTAGCTGAAAAAGCTTGAGGGAGTAAATACCGCAAGGGATGCACGTTGGGTTTTGATCAATGCTCTGAAAAGCAACCCATCCAACCCATCCGGAGTTGCAGACCAGATTAAATATTTTTGAGTTGGCATTTACCTCACTCAATAAGCATGTCTGCAATGCAATGCCATGATTATTTTTTGGGGATACCTGCCACATATGAATACGATTTTTTTGAGTTGGCATTTACCTCACTCAATAAGCATGTCTGCAATGCAATGCAATGATTACTTTTTAGGGAAACCTGCCACATATGAATACGATATCATATCAATCATTGGGTGAACATCCAATAAATTCCAATAATACTTTCCCCGTTGAAACCTCCAGAAGAACCACCCGTCATTCGTAAGCACGCCGGTCTGACTGTGTTGGAAGCCCTGCCGGATGCCCAGGCTGAAGACTTTCGTTCTTGGGACCTGCAAGCCGTTGGGACGAGGACCGCAGAAAGAGGGCAGGGCGATGGGTTGTCAACAAGGAGCAAAACCATCAAATGGAAGGGAAGATGATCAGATAGGATCAGAAGGTTCCAACTTAAAGTTTCGAAATATCACTGCCTTCTAAACAACTGTGAACTGCCATGCCATGCAGTTCCCGACGCCCCGGCTTGGACTGCTTGTTTTCTGATGTGAACGCAAGTTTTTGAATTTGAGCTGCCCCCCTAAAATACGACAATAGCACTGCCGTCACACTCCTGATTTGGGGGCTTTGTTATAAACTCTTGTCGTGACAGGTTGCACGAAATGAAGATTCCAAAGTCAAAGTTTCAAAATAGGCACGTAATGGAAACATTTGGAATAATTTGCATGATGAAACAGCCAGTGCCCATGGTCGGTGTTTTACTTGTAACATCATGGGGCATTGTTCACCGCCAAGACTTCTTTTGAACCACTAGTGGCCACGTGCAAGGCCATTGCACGCATAGGGTTTGTGTGTGGGTAAGAACTCTTGATCCCTCAGCTCAACAAACGTTATATAAGAGTCACAAGAGTCACCTGCAACAAAAATTGCATTTCACTATGATTTAAATTTCGATTGTTTCAGGAACATTTTGTGTTTCTTCATGCCCAAGCGCCAGCGGTTTCAAAAAGAGTTTTTTTTGTTACAGCCGTGAGACTTCCATTGGTAGATCAATCCAACCAAAATGAATTGGAGTCGCTAGATAGACCCCGGGCAAGGTGCACACACACAGCAGCCCCTTCCTGCCGGTATTTCAACACAAAGTTGCCATCAGATAGATTAAATAACAAAATCAAAAACAAAAAATGCATAAACAATTTTTCCTTGTCAGATTTTCAGCATTTAAAAATAGGATACCCCTGCTCCTGCCGTCGGAGGTTTATACTGACTGTGTGACCTTCCCAGGAAAACCCCCCCAAACACTGCACATTTCAGCAGTAAGGCCAACGATGAAACACAGCTAAATGGTATCACTTAGCATCAAAGCCAGCCCTCTTCTTTGCCATATCCCAAGCAGCTGCAGCCCCATGAGTCTTCATGGACACCTGCCCAACTCCTCCGGTTCCACGCGACGAGACTTTCTTGATGAAGTAAGCGCCATGCTTCAGAAGTACCTCAATCGTTGCATCTTCGGATGCATTGCGAAGGGTGTATGAATGCAAACCTCTGTTCTCCTTGGTGGGGTCTGGCCTCGCTTGAACTGGAAGCATCGAAATGTCATACCCTTTGTACTCACACTTGGCCGTTGGAGTTTCCTCAGAACCCCTCCCATCACCAGGCTCTTTGTTTTGGGATTTCAACATGCCACGACCCTTTGAGGAATGCCCAAAACTGGCCCTCTTGTTTGACTCCTTCTTGCCCTTGCTCTTGTCCTTATTGGACTTCTTGTTCAACTTCTGCTTCTTCTGCTTCGGCTCAGCGGTGTCAGGAGTATTGTCAGGGGCCTTGGGTGAAAGGTTATTGAACAAACAAAAGTCAAATTGGGTCAAAGGGAATATATATATATATATATGTATACTTACTTCCTACAATGCAAAACAACTGGAACACAAATTTTGTTTTGAAACTCAGGTACGTGTTTGTCCATCCTCTCCGGTGTTGGAACGATGGGGAAACCAAAGAAACCAGGTTGGGGGCAATCAGGTGTCTTCATAGTGACCGGTTCTTCCATGGTCTCGGATTTCAATGCCCTCATCTGGGCAGCCGAGGAAGTCCCAAGCATGGCCTTTTCAAATTCATGTGTTCCATCCACATAGTCAGGTACCACTGGGTGTTCATGGTCCGACTCATCATCATCCGACCCAAACATGGCATGGCTTCTACGCTTCAACCCCTTGGTTTTTTTCAAGGAATCACTGGCACTTTCATTCAGGATACGACACAGGTCACAACCGTCCCCTGGGCAAACATCGTTGAGTTTCCAATCCACACATAGCGGGATCCCCTCTTCACCCTCACGACCCTCGTATTTCTTGTTCTCATACCAAAGTTCCTTGTCCCATTTTTCCCATGATGGACTCCATGACCTGTCCACCCACGGTTCGTTTGGAAGCTCCCGACTGGAACTTGGCATGGGAGCACTGCTAGAATCACTGTCGCTGTCACCACTGGAATCCTGGGTTGGATCATCAACTGCGTCCTCAACCTTCTCAGCCTTCTCAACCTTGTCAGCGCAGGGGTCTTGCTCATGTTGGTGTTTGGGAACCACAAACTTGCCCCAAAACTTCTGGAGAGCTGCCTGCTGGCTATCGGTCACAGGCCAAACCTCCTTGTCACCCTCAACATGGACAACATCATGGGAAACATGGCGGGTTGAGCCGGGCTTGGAGGTGGGAAGTGAATCACTGTCCGACCCCTCAGAACCATCCTCACTGTCACATTTATCATCATCATCACCCACCCCATCATCGCCCATCACATCACCCTTGTCAGAGTCCGTGCCCATGTCACTGTCCTCCTCCCCAGAGCCACCAGCTGCCGAAGAATCCTCTGACTCCTCTTCTCGGTCCTGGAGCGAAAAACAACCTGCACCCTTCAACTTGTAAGATGTTTTTTTTGGTAGTATCGGTACTCCCAACCCCTTGTGATTGCCCTTCCCTCCCTATGCACAGTCTCGTGGCAATGTGGTTCAACAAAGAACATGCGGTGTCCTCCAAAGCCGGATTAGGGCCCTTGGGCGGTGACCTCTGCAGGTAACCTTTCAACTTTGCAACGTTCTCATCATAGCTAGTCGGACCTTATAGATTGAATTGGCTTCAAATTCAAAACACAATTCTGGTAACTGCGTTGCGGTTCTTCTTTCAAAAAGACGCAAAAAATATGGGGAAACATATGTTTAATTGATACCCCAGGAACTGTTGCGAAACAGGTAGCGAAGTGCACCCACCAGTTTCTTCAAGCGTTTGGCGTCTTGACCTGCCAACGTCACCCGGGTATTCTCAGCATCTGGGATGAACATGCCCTTCCCCAACAGCGCGTCCAACCACAAGAAGCAGTCGGTCAGGTAAAACGCAGAAGGTACCTGTTGGGCAGATTCCGGGATCTAAGCTATATATAGTAATGTTGTCGCTTTGACAGGTTTCACCAGGATAATTCAGGGTCACTTTTTACAAACAAAAACAGTATAAATAAATACAAACAACATATATTTTTGACACAAACAAGCCTTGTCTGGAAACAATTCGGATACCCCGCGGAGCCATGTGTAGTTGGCACTGATCTCCTCCCAGGTTTGAATAAGAAGGTTGCATATAAGAGTGCAGGGTGGCTGGTGCGATAGGAATGACTAAGCGATTGAACATTTTTTTTACGATGGGTTAGGTGCCCAAGGGATATCTTCATTTTTATCGGTACTAAGTTTTTCTTTGCCTACTGATGCTATATAAACAAGTCAGACCCAGCTCCTGGAATGAGGGCCTGGTCACATCATTTTCCAGCTTGACAATTGCCACAGCTGCAGCCAAACGCTTGTTCTGAACAATGTCAATGGCCGCTTGCGGCATATCAGCCAACCACATAGTGGCAAGACGTTCCTGAAACACAGGCATAATGGTCCCCCGTAAATATCTTGAATGGAAAAACGATTTATGGTGATTTATGGTGATTTATTGTGAGTTATGGCGATTTATGGTGATTTATTTTATAAATTTCCAAGCATCCTGGTGTGTGTGTGAAATATTATTTTAGATAGCAAACCGTACCCCCAAACTAGAATTTGAAAGTTCCAAAGCAGTGAGAAGAATCCACATCCTTCGAAGTCCAGGCAATCTTTCCAGGTCCTTGGGG